CCACATATTTGAATGGTTAAGCTTCCTCATGCTTTTTTTTTTAAGAGTATATTTATTTATTGAAGATTTTATGTATTTATTCATGAGAGACACAGAGGCAGAGACACAGGCAGAGGAAGAAGCAGGCTCCCTGCAGAGAATCCGATATGGACTCCCATCCTGGGATTCCAGGATCACACCCTGAGCTGAAGGCAGAGCTGCGGAGCCACCCAAGCATCCTCAGAATGTCTTTTTATAGCATACTCACCCTTCTTGTGATGGTGTGAAGTGATAGAATGCCTACACGATGAAATGAAGTGAGGTGAATGACATAGGCTTTGTGACATAGCATTAGGCTACTATTCCTCCTGACAATATGTTACAATGAAGAAGGATCATTTGCTTTTGGACCATGGTTGACTATGGTAACTGAGACCGTGGAAAGTTAAATAGATAAGGAAGGACTCCTATATTTTGAATATGATTATACAATTGCATTTATCAGAGTATTCTATATTTTCATGTTACTAATTAGCATATTTCATTTCAGTTTGAAGAACTGTATTTAGTATCTTTTGTAGGGTAGGCCAAGTGGTGTTGAACCCCCTCAGCTTCTGTTTGGGAAAGTCTTTCTCCTTCATTTCTGAAGGACAACTTTACTGGTAAAGATTTTTGGTTTGCGGTTTCTTTGTTGCAGCATTTAGAACATATCATCCCATTTATTCCTTGTATTCAGTGTTACAGCGAAGAAAACTGCTCATATCCTTATGAAGGGGAAGGGAGTTCCCCCCCCCATATGAGTTTCTTTTCTCAAGGCTGTCAAATTCTCTTTGTCATTACATTTAGACTTTTATCATATAGTTGACCTTTGAGCAACATGGGGTTAGGGGTGCTAATCTCTGTGTAGCCAGAAATCTGTGTATAACTTTTGACAGTCCCCAGAACTTAGCTACAAATAGCATCTTCTTCACCAAAGCCTTCCTAATTAGAGTCAATTAGCCCATGTTTTGTATGTTATATGTGTACTGTATTCTTACATTAAAGTAAGCTAGAGAGGGACGCCTGGGTGGCTCAGTGGTTGAGCATTTGCCTTTGGCTCAGGGCCTGATCCCGGAGTCCCAGAATCGAGTCCTGCATCGGGCTTCCTGCGTAGGACCTGCTTCTCTCTCTGCCTGTGTCTCTGCCCTCCCCCCCTCTATCTCTGTCTCTCATGAATGAATGAATGAATGAATGAATGAATGAATAAATAAATAAATAAATAAATAAATAAATAAATAAAATCTTTGAAATGGATAAGTAAGCTAGAGAAAATAAGATTTCTGTCCCTGCCCATCTGCCTTCTTCAGGCCCCCATAATGCAAATATTGCTCTGTTTCTTGATGTCCTATAGTCCACACAGACTTTCTTTATTTATCCTTTTTAAGTTGTCTTTTTTATAATTTGACTGGATGATTTCAAAAGGCATATCTTTAATTTCAGATTCATTTTTTTGATCAGGCTGGCTATTGATCCTCTCTATTGCATTTTTCTTTTCTTTCTTTTTTTTCTTTCTTTTTTTTTTTTTTAGAAAGAGGATATCAAGCAGGCTTGGTGATACAGGGCTCCCATCTCACAACCCTGAGATCATGACTTGAGATGAAATCAAGAGACATGTAACTGACTGAGCCACCCAGGCGCCCCTGCATTTTTCATTTCATTCGTTGTATTCTTCACCATAACTTTTTCTATTAAGTTGTAATTCCAGTATAATTAACATACTATGTTCTATTTGTTTCAGGTATACAGTACAGTTATCTATTGAAAATCTTGTATTGTTTATAATTGTTTTCCTTATTTCATTGAATTGTCTGTGTTTTCTTATAGCTCACTGAGCCCCCTTGAAAAGTTATTTTGATGGGATGTCTGGGTGGCTCAGCAGTTTAGTGCCTGCCTTCGGCCCAGGGCCTGATCTCAAAGTCCTGGGATCAGGTCCCACATCGGGCTCCCTACATGGAGCCTGCTTCTCCCTCTTCCTATGTCTGCCTCTTTCTGTGTCTGTCATGAATAAATAAAATAAAATCTTTAAAAAAATTATTTTGAATTCTTTAACAATTCCTAGATTTGCATTTCTTTGGGGTGACTGATCAATTACTGTGTTCCTTTGGAGGTGTCCTGTTTCCTTGATATTCTTGTGTTTCTCGTAGCCTTGCGTTGATGTCTGTACATTTCATGGAGTAGTCACTTTTTCCAGACTTTACAGAAAGGTTTTGAACAGGAAAATCTTTGTCTGTCTGTTGATGTGAATGCACCAGCTTGGTGGAGTGTGGCAAGTCTGAGTATAAGATGGTCAAGAGGCTTAGTGTCTGTGCAGCTGTTACCTGAGATCAGTGTCAACAAAGATTGTAGGAATCCAAGGCTGTGTGTGTCCATAGTAGTAGAGAATGTTACCGGGAACCTCCTGATCTCTCTCCCACTGGAAATGTTTTGGCTGTGGTGTTCCTTTGATGCCAAGTCCAGCTCTTGGGTGTCTTTGTGATGGCTTTATTTATTTTTTATTTTTTTATTTTAAAAAGATTTTATTTATTTATTCATTAGAATACACAGAGAGGAGAAAGAAAGAGAGGCAGAAACACAGGCAGAGGGAGAAGCAAGCTCCATGCAGGGAGCTTGACATGGGACTCGATCCCGGGTCTCCAGGATTATGCCCTGGGCTGAAGGCAGTACTAAACCGCTGAGCCACCGGGGCTGCCCTTTGTGGTGGTTTTAACATTGGAGTGTGATGTGCAGGCACCAATGGATCAGGTAAGGGTCTGGGTTCTAGAATGTGAATAGATAGAGCAATAGCAGTTCTAGGATCCCAGATTCTGAATAGCCTATAGCAGTGATGACTTGCTGTGTGAGATGCAGTTGTACACCAAGCATTGATGGAGTCTGTGACTGGAGCATAGGTACTCTCTGTCTCTGGTCCTAAGGAGCTCACTAGCCCACAACAGCCATGGATCTGGTGCCTTGACCTGGGCACGCAGGTGACAGCCATGCAGTCAGGTTATGAAATATAGGCATCCATGGAATAGTTGCAATGCTGGCATCCAGGGTATATGCAGTGTTGATGTGAGTGGCAGCTCTGCCCCTGGAATGGAAAATGGCTCCCTTTTCGGGGGGAGAGGGCAACTCAGCATATTATTCTCTGGCAGGTTTCTGGTGATAGCTTTTGATTACCTTAGAGCAAAAGCTGCTGGGGTCTTCTGCAGAGCAGGCATATGGGGTCCATGCCTATAAACACTTGGACCCCTCTGCTGTGTAATCTGTGATGTTCTGCTACTGTAGCAGGACTTATTGAGGTTCTCTGCAGCAAAGGATGCTGAGGTCCCCTGCATAATAGGGGACTGTAATGGCATCAGCTCTTTGGCTGACACAGTCGCCATCCTTCTTATTTTCTGCCTATATCCATATGTCTTCACTAAGCCAGTGTCCCCATTTATTTTTTTTTTTGTGTGGTGGTTATTATTGTGTGCTCTGTTGTGTCACTGCGTATTTAATATTTTATTTATTTATTTATATGAGAGAGAGAGACCACATGTATAAGCAAGGAGAATGACAGAGGGAGAGGGATAAGCAGGCTCTCTGCTGAGGAGGGAGCTGGATGTGGGGCTCAATCCCAGGACCCCAAGATCATGACCTGAGCTGAAGGCAGGTATTAACTGAGCCACCACCCAGGTGCCCTTTTTTTAAAATTTTTTTTTATTATTTATTTATTCATGAGAGAGACAGAGAGAGAGAGAGAGAGGCACAGACACAGGCACAGGGAGAAGCAGGCCCCATTCCATGCAGGGAGCCCAACGTGGGACTCGATTCCGGGTCTCCAGGACCACACCCAGGACTGAAGGTGGCGCTAAGTCACTGAGCCACCCGGGCTGCCTTTATTTGGCCACTTAAACCTTCCAAGGGCAAAGGCTGTTATGCTGACATTACTTACCTTGCTCTCTTTTGTGCTGAATAGCCCTGGGGCGGGGCTGGCTATTCATTTGTCCTGTTTTTGCCTTAGGACTTGTCCATGTCCCATGTAGTTTTTCAAGGCTTATAGGGAAGAATCTTTTTTTTTTTCTTTTTTTACAAACAAATTGTGGGGGTTATTCCTACCATTACCCCACTTATTGTCTTTTTTTATTTTTTAAGTATTTATTTATTCATGAGACACACACACACAGAAGCAGACACACAGGCAGGGGGAGAAGCAGGCTCCATGCAGGGAGCCTGACGTGGGACTTGATCCCGGGTCTCCAGGATCACACCCCGGGCTGAAGGTGGCACTACACCTCTGAGCCACCAGGGCTGCCCAGGGAAGAATCTTTTGTGTATCACAGGATGGACAGGACTCCAGACATGGCAAACTAGACTCAGAGCAATGTGGTCCTGGTCAATGACTGGAAAGAGTGTTCAGGTCATACCAGATCCCCCATGGTGAACCTGTCTTTATTCACCCACACTTTCATGCCATTTCAAGTGGCCACACTTCATTGCTACTTTTACTTCTCCATTTTGACATTTTGCCAATCCCCTGACTTCCAGCACAGGGATAACCTCCACTTCTCTGGACCCCACATTGTACCCATTTCTCCCACTGTTCTTTCTGTGTACTCCAGCATTGGCCATGAGATGTTCATGTATCCCTAAATTGACATTGAACAGTAGCTAATCTGTTGCAATTAGATTTTAATGGGCTTGGATGCATGCTTTTACCCAGCCTCACATCAGCAGTAGCAAAGGTCCTGCCAAAGACTGTTGACAGGGAAATCAGTTGTAATCCTTGCCTCTTTTTCTTGTCTCATACCCTGTCTTGGTATCCTTCCCCTGGTGAGGTCACCATTCTGTGACCTTTGGGGTCAAGTAATGCACAGTGGCTGCCCCTTCAACTGAATTCCAACTACGGTGTCTGGAAAAGTATGCCATAGACTCATGCCTAAATGAGATGGATGCATATATGTCATGTGCTCACCCCCTCGCTATAATCACGTATCTCACCAGTGTATCTTTGCGTTCAGGTTGCTGCTGTGGAGCAGAGGATGTGGAGGCACCTTGTGAACAGAGCATTTCTGTAGGTGTGTCACAGGACAGAACGCCCAGGGCAGCTCTGACTTTCCGGAAGACCCACCCCTGTGAGATGTGTGGTCCAGTCTTGAGAGATATTTTCCACTTGGCTGAGCACCAGGGAAAAGAAAACAGCCAGAAACTGTTGAGGTGCGGGGCATGTACAAAAAGATTTTATTTCAGCATAAAGTTTCAACAGAAGCAGGAGCAGCATGTGGGAGAGAAACTGTTGAGAAACAGTGTGGACAGGGCCTCTCTTGTGAAGAGTTGCGGAATCTTTGATTCAGGAAAGCCCTTTACCTGTGGAGAGGTTGAGAAGGACTTCCTGCCTGGCTCAGGGCATCTGCAGCAAGAGGCCACTCATGCTGGGGAGAAGCCAAACACAATCACACAGTGCAGGGGAACTTTACAAAGCAGAAAAAGTCATTACACCTGGGGAGAATGCAAGAAGGACTTTGGTCCAAAACACACACTTGTTCAGGACCACTGTTTTGTATGCAGTGAATGTGGGAAAACATTCAGGTACAAGTCTTCATTTGCTATACACCAGAGATTCCATACTGGAAAAAGACATCATGAGTTTGGTGAATGTGAAAAATCCCTTCGGCAAAGCTCAACCCTCAGTCAACATGGAAAGACTCACACTGGGTCCAGGCAATACAAGTGTAGCAAATGTGGGAAGTCCTTTTACCACAAATCTGTCCTCATTCATCCCCAGAGATGGCATAATGGAGAAAATGTGTGCAGTGAATGTGCAGAGTCTTTTAGCCATAGCTCAGTGTTGATTCCATGTAGAGTTCAAACTGGAGAAAGGCCTTATAAGTGTAATGACTGTGCAAAATCTTTTACCTCTGTCTCTGCCCTCAGTTATCATCAGAGATCTCACACAGGAGAAAGGCCTTATGAGTGCAGTGAATGTGGGAAATCTTTTATCTCTAGGTCTGACCTCCGTTATCATCAGAGAGTTCATTCTGGAGAAAGGCCTTATGAGTGCAGTGAATGTGGGAAATCTTTTATCACTCGTACTGCTCTCCGTTATCATCACAGAGTTCACACTGGAGAAAGGCCTTATGAGTGTAGTGAATGTGGCAAGTCCTTTACTCGAAGAAATAACCTCATTATACATCTAAGAGTTCACTCAGGTGAAAGACCTTATGAGTGTAGTGAATGTGGGAAATCTTTTACCTTTAGCTCCAGCCTGCGTTATCACCACAGAGTTCACACTGGAGAAAGACCTTATGAATGTAGTGAATGTGGGAAATCTTTTAACAATAGGTGGACACTCATTCGACACCGAAGAATTCACACAGGAGAAAAGCCTTATGTGTGCAGTAAATGTGGGAAGTCTTTTACTTGTAGCTCTACTCTCCAGTATCATCATCGAGGTCATCTTGGAGAAAGACCTTATGAGTGTAATGAATGTGGGAGATCTTTTACCACTAGTTCTGCCCTCCGTTACCACCAGAGAGTTCATACTGGAGAAAGGCCTTATGAGTGCAGTGAATGTGGGAAATCTTTCATTTCTAGGTCTGACCTGCATTATCATCATAGAGTTCATTCTGGAGAAAGGCCTTATGAGTGTAATGAATGTGGGAAATCCTTTATCCGAAGAAATAACCTCATTTTACATCAGAGAGTTCACACAGGAGAAAGGCCTTACAAGTGTAGTGAATGTGGGAAATCTTTTAATAATAGGTGGACACTTATTCAACACCAGAGAGTTCACACAGGAGAAAAACCATATGTGTGCAGTGAATGTGGGAAATCTTTTACCTGCAGCTCCACACTTTGTTACCATCAGAGAGTTCATGAAGGTAAAAGGCCTTATGAATGCAGTGAGTGTGGGAAATCCTTTACCTCCAGTTCTACTCTCCGTTATCATCAGAGAGTTCACACAGGAGAAAGGCCTTACAAATGCAGTGAATGTGGGAAATCTTTTACCTTTAGTGCCAGCCTTCGTTATCATCACAGAGTTCACAGTGGAGAAAGGCCTTATGAGTGCACTGAATGTGGGAAATCCTTTAAAGATAGATCACAATTCAATAAACACCAGAGAACTCACACGGGAGAAAGACCTTACGAGTGCAGTGAATGTGGGAAGACTTTTAGCCAAAAATCTTCTCTGTCAATACACCAGAGAATTCATAATAGTGAACGATCTTATGAGTGTAGTGCTTGTGGGAAATCTTTTACATCTATCTCTGGCCTTGGTTATCATCATAGAGTTCATAAAGGAGAAAAGCCGTATCAGTGTAGTGAATGTGGGAAATCTTTTACCAATAGCTCAATACTGATTCGACACCAGAGAGTTCACACAGGAGAAAGACCTTATGTGTGCAGTGAATGTGGGAAATCTTTTACCAGTAGCGCTACCCTTTCTTATCATCAGAGAGTTCATGCAGGTAAAAGGCCTTATGAATGCAGTGAATGTGGGAAGTCTTTCACCTCCAGTTCCACTCTCCGTTATCATCAGAGAGTTCATGCAGGAGATAGGCCTTATGGGTGTAGTGAATGTGGGAAATCTTTTATCTCTAGCTCCAAACTACGTTATCATCAGAGAGTTCACACTGGAGAAAGGCCTTATGAGTGCAGTGAATGTGGAAAATCCTTCAGGGATAGTTCACAATTCAGTCAGCACCGGAGAGGTCACACTGGAGAAAGGCCTTATGAGTGTGGTGAATGTGGGAAATTTTTTACAAGAAAATCTACACTCTCTCAACATCAGAGAGTTCACACTAGAGAGAACCCTTAGGTGTGCAGGGAATGTGCAATTTCCTATTCACTATAACAACACTGGAGGGAACTCTGAGGAGCCATCTCTCTGAACTGAAACTCAGCTAAACATGCAGTGATATATTCCTTGTAAGTTTTAGTTCTGTAATAAACTTGTGTAAATATGTTGCACTTTCTAAACCGTCCAGGGCTCTTTTCCAGATTTAGCTCACTGCTAGATTTTGTAGCCAAAGCCTTTTCACCTCTCCCACTTCGGAGGTCTACAAAGTGTGCTTCAGTCACCACTACAATGTATTCAGGGAAGCTGACATTTGTTTTCCCATGATTTAGAACAAATTAGAAGTAACCTGAGCCCTGAGGGGTCAGCTCTCCTGTCTCCTTAACTACCTTAGGCATGGACCTGAATCAGTGATGACCCAGAGAATATGAGTTTGGCTGGCAGCTTACAGAGAATGACTACCTTTTTCAGGGACATGTTGGTCTCCTGTGACGCGATGTTTTTCCAGCTTCCCATTGAAACAGTAACTACTGCACATTGCTTTGGCTTATGTGATGTTCAAGGCCTTACTTTTTAAGTCTTAATCTTGGATGTTCTGCTTACTGTTTGGGGTAGTTTATAAATGGATCTGGGCTCAACAAGCAGTACTGGGTGAGCTTTTTAGGAGTCTCAAATTGTGCTTGAGGAGGGAGAGGAGGATGGCAGAAAATAGCTTGCCAGTGTTGATCAAATGTGCATTGCTGCCCCACAGCCTCTGAAAAACTGCAGGGCTTTCTGGTTTTCATTTGAAATCCTAGATGCTTCGTGTTTTAGGAGTCTCAGTGATTGGGACGCCTGGGTGGCTCAGCAGTTGAGTGTTTGCCTTTGGCTTACAGTGTGGTCCTGGAGTCCTGAGATCGAGTCCCACATGGGGCTCCCTGCTTGGAGCCTGCTTCTCCCTCTGCCTATGTCTCTGTCTCTCTGTCTCATGAAAAAATAAAATCTTAAAAAAAAAAAAAGATGACTCAAGGAGGAGGCAAGTGTGAGACCCTCAGATGCTTCTGAAAGCAGCATAAATTTTTTCTCCTTACTCAAAGGAGACCTCACAGGGGATGTCAGCACTATTGAGTTATCTTCCCTAGCTTTACAAACAGCCATGTGCCCTGATGTCCACAGCCTAATTGGGCTAGGGTCACTGGTTGTAAGATCACAGGGGGCAGGGGAAACCATAATTGCTACAGAAACACTGCTTAATAGGAAGTGGAGGAGACCGCAGCCAACTAGATGGAATATGCCTCTTCTAAAAATGGATCCGGACATGTTTCTGTAACAGTGATTTTGCAAGGTTAGTGTGTACACAGATCTCAGGACCTCCAGGTATGATTATCTTGTGTTAGGTATAGTTATTGTTGGAGAAAAAAATAAAAACTAAAATAATCAAAAGGTTCTGTGGTTTCCTCTCTGTGATGTCTGCTTCAAAGCCACTACCACTGAGTCAGGGGAAAAAAAGATAAAGGGTAATCTATATTCCTGGAGTATGACACTTGTGACCCAGGAAGCATTCCTGTTGACTTGTATGGAAATACTCTGTTCTCCACATTTGCTGCCACTAAGGTAATACCCCATAGGCATGAGAAAGAGGGATGGAATTGGTGTGGGGTGGCCAAACCAATTTCCCAAAAAGAGTGGGACATAGACATTTTGAGCCATTTTTAAAGCTTTGTTAAGTAAGGCATAGTTTATATTTTCTAGCCTGCATGTATTTACCGTGTAATTTGGTAAATTTTGACATAGTTATGAACTTATGAAACCATCATCATAGTCCTGTTAATAACTTTATCTGTCACATGTTTACCTCCTGTTCTTTTATAATCCCTTGCCCCTCCCACTTCTCCAGGTAACTACTGATTTACTTGCTTTTACAATAGATGGATAGTTTTGAATTTTTTAAATTTATGTTTGGAATTGATACTGTTTTGATTTTTTGTTTTTATTGTCAAAATTACTTTGAGATTCATCAGTGATAAATGAGTAGTGGGTTTTTTTTTTTGCTGAGTAATATTTTTGGATATACCAGTTTATCCATTTATCTATGTTTGAGGATTTGGTTTATTTCTAGATTCTGATTATTGAAGATAAAGCTAGTGTAAACATCTGCGTTCTTTATGTGAATGTATGTTTCTTTGATGTTTTGTCAGTGACTTAGTGTATAATGTCTGGGTCATAGAGTAGGTAAATGTTTTACTTTTTGATTGTATCGTTTGCCTTTTCCCAGCAGTGTAGGAGTTCCAGTTCATCCACATTCTGAACATTTGGTTTGGCTAATTATTTAATTTTAGGCCTTTTAATAAGTTTTTAGTGTTATGTTATTTTGTTTTAATTACATTTCTGTAAGGATTCACAATCATTTTTTCCAATGCTTATTTGCTGTCTACACCTTTGGTAAAATGCATGTATCTTTTTCCTATTCTTTGAGCTTTAGCTATTTTCCTTTAACAGATACAACAATGAAACAAGTGTGTTTCTGCGTGCATGTGCTACTCACCATGGAATGGACAGCTGTACGCTTTCAAATTTTTTCTGCATTGTTAACATATTCTTTGTCACATTCTTTTAAAAAAGATTTTATTTGGGGGGATCCCTGGGTGGCGCAGCGGTTTGGCACCTGCCTTTGGCCCAGGGCGCGATCCTGGAGACCCGGGATTGAATCCCACGTCAGGCTCCCGGTGCATGGAGCCTGCTTCTCCCTCTGCCTGTGTCTCTGCCTCTCTCTCTCTCTGTATGACTATCGTAAAATAAAAAAAATAAAAAAATAAAAAAAAAAAGATTTTATTTGGGGAGAGAATGAGCGAGTGGTGGGGGAAAGGGCAGAGGGAGAGGGAGAGGGAGTAGCAGCTTCCTTGATGAACAGGGACCCCAGCCCAGAGCTCAATCCCAGGACCCTAGGATCATGACCTAAGCCTACGGCAGACGCTCAACTGACTGAGCTACCCAGGCGCCCCTCTCCATCACATTAAGTCCAGTCATTGGGGAATGTATTAAAGCCTTGCTTTTTAGTGGCTACCTATTTTCCTTCTTTATCACCATTGGGGTTGGTGGCTTGGAGCAGATGGGGGACAAGATTGGATCAGTATGGGCTGGGTTTTCCTTTGAGTCCCAAAGCCTGTCTAGGAGATGATGTAGAGGTCACTAATCAGATTTCCCAAGTCTTTGTCCAGGGTCCCTAGGTTTAATTCCTGGATTTCGGGCCACTATAAGGACCCACAGGCAAAAGCCCCTATCCAGGGCCTGTTTCGAAAACCCTATGTACAGTGGGATTAGGAGTGGCCCTATCCCTGATCCATTGGGTATTGTGAAGAGCTGAGGTATTCATTCCTATATAGCTGTACCTGTGGGGAACATCCTAAAGCCAGGCACCTGTAGCTCTCCCTGTTACCACCAGACTGCTATGCCACCAGGTGTGTCCGAAAGAAATAGAGCTGCTCAAGAGCCCCTGATCCAGGTCAGTCCCTAGGGGGAGGAGGGTCTGCACAGTAGGTCTCAGCGTGGTTTACTGGGAATATCTGGACAACTCCCTAGAGCCCCTTGAGCCTCAGTCTGCTATGACACAAAAGTGATGATGGTGTTTACCCTGGCCCCTGGGGCCATTAATAAAAATAAAACACACAAAAAAATAATAATAAAAAAATTTAAAAAATAAATAAATAAATAAAAAACACTGAGCACTTAAAGAATTCCATGGGATTTTGAGCTTGTATATGATGTTTTTATATCAAGTTTTTAATATAAATATTTCCATAATTTTCCTTTTCACATTTCTCTTACTTTGCTTAACTCTTACTGGTGTTTATATCACATTAATAATATCCTAGTGTTTTGTTTTTTAAGATTTATTCATGAAAGACAGAGGAAGAGACATAGGCAGAGAGAGAAGCGGGCTCTTCACAGGAGCCCAATGTGGAACTCGATCCTGGATCCCAGGATCACGACCTGAGCCAAAGGCAGCAACCCAACTGCTGAGCCACCCAGGTGTCCCTAATATCCTAGTTTTGTCCATTCTATAGAGTACCACTCAAATCAATATATTTACTGTGGAGTTTTGTCCAATCCATGTGTGTATGCCCTAGCTTATTTTCTCTTCTGAATCACTCTATAACTGAGACCAAGATCATGCTCATCAATTGGTGGATTATCACAAATATTTTGAATCATTTTCTTTTTTTAGATTTATCTGAGAGAACACCCCAGCAGGGGCGGTGGGGATTGGGAGAAGGACAAATCTATAGTTAACTGACTGAGCCACCCAGGTGCTCCAATTCATTGTCTTATGTACTGGGAGAGCTCTTCTTATGGACCTCTACTTGCCTTAACTGCCAGATTAATCCTCTTCAGGTCTTCTTTAAACAAATTTGATTTATGATGCTTAATGCAAAACATTCAATACTATTAAGGTATGTTATTACACACACCATAGATTCTTTTTCACCTACATAGTTATATTTTGGTTCATTAAGAGTCTTTCCTAAAAATTCAACATGAGTTTTAAACTTAAAGTTTAAATAGTTTAATATGTATGTAACAGAGGACTACTTACTATTTTAATGAATTCTGTTAGAGTGTACTGGAAAGTTTCCAAATACATTTTTAAAGAATTCAGTGAAAGTGGCTGATATAAAGTAGAAATGATAAATACATAACTATATAAGTTTTCTACAATTAGAATGTTTTTGAAACATTTAAAAATTTCAGTCCACCTTAGTTCTGAATGGGCTAAAGGTAAATTTTGACATCAAAAATGAAATTTCCACAAATTAATATATTGTATAGTTGTGTGTATCTCCATATGCTGGATAGTTTTCATAATAATTGCCTGTTTTAAATTTTTGCCTAATATTTTATGGCTTGTATGAGTGTTGAAAATATAGTACTTTTTTACATTATATAAGTTATTTTTGTGATTTTTCTAGTTGTCTGTATTTTGCATATGTTTCTATTTTTAAAAAGTGAAAAGCATATTTTGTGGTTTTAAATTGGGGTCTTGTTTTGTAATGACTTGCACATTTCAAGTGCAGGTTTGTTAAAATCTTTGTCTTCGGGTCACCTGGGTGGCTCAGCAGTTGGGCACCTGTCTTCAGCCCAGGGCATGATCCCAGAGTCCCAGGATCAAGTTCTGCATCAGGCTCCCTGCATGGAGCCTGCTTCTCCCTCTGCCTGTGTCTGCCTCTCTATGTCTCTCATGAATAAATAAATAAAATCTTTTAAAAATAATAAAATACATTTTAAAAAATTTTAATTGAGGTATAGTTGACGTGTAATATATTAGTTTCAGATGTACAACAGTGATTTGACACATACATTGTGAAATGCTCACCATACATGTAGTTACCATCTGTCATACAGAATCATTACAATATTATTGACTATATTCCTTATGCTGTACTTTTTATCTCTGTGACTTCCATATTTTATAATGGGAAGTTTGTACTAATTAATCTCCACCTATTTTCCCCATCCCCCTACCCTACCCCTTCCTCCCTGGTATCCACTGGTTTTCTCTGAGTCAGTTTCTCTCCTTTGTTGTTTCAGATTCCACATGTAAGTGAAGTCACTGGGTATCTGTCTCTGTCTGACATATTTCACTTAGCATAATGCCTTTATGTCCATCTTAAAAAAAAGAAAAAAAAGCCTAGGGAAATGGAATTTAGACTACTAGGAAACCACAACCTTGAGAACACTCCAGCAGGGCCAAAGACCAGTTCTCTCAGAAGCTGGGGAAGGGCTGGACTTGTGTCTTCCGGTTCAAGATCCCGTGGCTCCCAAGGCCCTGGGAACAGAGGTCCGGCACCTGGGGCCACCAGTCCCTGACCCCGCCTCACGTTCCCTGTTCCCGAATGACAGATCCTTCCAGCCTCAGATCCTCCTGCAGCCTCTGCTCCAGCCCGCTCCCGCACGCCTGTGCAGGGGCACTCACACCGAGCCCTGGGCCGCAGGGATGCGAGCAAGCGCCCCGCGCTCGGGTCTTCTTGAGGGTCTGAGTGGTGGGAGGGCGGCAAGGGCCCAGGGGAAGAGCATCCACCGGGACCCTGGGCACGGCCTTCGCCATCGGACTTGGGAGGCGGGGCGGACACCCGGGCCGATGGCCCTGGTCCCAGGCCCTGTGAGGGGCAGCCTGGACGGCGACATCAGCCTGGGGCCCGCCTCTCTGCCGTGGGGACGACTCCAGCACCTTGACAGTTCCGTCACGTCGGCCCGGCCCTGGCAGCCCGAGGGCAGCAAGAAGGAAGCCGCCAGGAGGAGACCGGGATTCCCCCCGTAAGCGATAAATTACCAGGGAAATGATTCCTTTGGCTCAACTGCGCGCTTGATCTTGTGGGTCATGTGTTGGAGGCCCCCTAGAGCCCAATGGACGGATTTTCTCCATTCTGACCAATTAGTGCATCAGCCAGGGCTTTCTCAAAGGATGCTGGAAACCTAAAGGGAGGGAGGGGATTTGCTTCTTGTGAACTGCAGTGAGGAGGCATAATTTAGAGAGAATACATGTCAGGGAGATAGATGATTATGAACAGGATAATTCCTCATGTTTGGAGTGCACTGTGGAGCCATGGTCCCTAAGACCCAGACCAAGAAGTCTGAGAAAGACCTTGTAGAAGAAGTCACCTTTTAAGCTACCAAGCGGATTGTTCCATGATCTGTAATTGAGTTGCAACTTCTGCAAATGTTAATCCAGGTACAAGAGGTGGTGTTGGTCACAACAGCACAGATACCTCCTTGCTCAGCTAAAAGATTTAAGAACTCTTCTATTATTAACAACCACTTTGGGGGGACACCTGGGTGGCTCAGTCAATTAAGCATCTGACTCTTGATTTTGACTCAGGGAATGATCTCAGGGTCCTGAGATTGTGCTCCCCTCCCCACATGCTCACTCTGTCTAAATAAATAAAATATTTAAAAGCAACCTTGGTCAGAGTCTAAAGATCTTTTTTTAAAGCTATTAGGAACAAATTCTATAATATCTTTCAGAGTTAAGGAGGAGTTTCTGATCATAATCCCCTTTACATTTACTCCTAACAACTATGGCCTTGCCAAAGGAAGCAAATCCTGAGCCATGAATGCCTCCTGGTAGGTATGTCTCAACGATGTAAATCCAGGGGAATTGATTGATAAGATGTCTTAGTTTGCTTGCAAAAAGTTTTAGCACATATGGGAAGAAACTCTCCTAGCCTAAAGAATGAGTTATTCTAAATACCTTGCAAAGATGCTTACTGCTGGTGAAATCTCTTAGTAAGGATAGATCTGATCTAGATAATCATGGGAGGGTGATGGTGCAAATGTACTAAGATATATGTTAAGTATTTGTATCTAATTTGGTACATATAGTTATAATTGAAGAAAGGTAAAAACAAGGCACAGGTTGTTCTGGCCATAAAAGTGGAACTTGGTAAGAGACTTCTGCAGGGGCAGTGGAGGTGGGAGGATTGATTGTAGTTTGCATTTACATTGGAAATAGAAGAGTAGTTGGTCGCAGGGACGACCAAGGAGTCTTGAGCATCATGGGAAGATTGGGATCATTGATGGATCTAGAAGTCTGAAAGGTTACCCCTTAGCAATGGCCAGGGAAATACTAAAGCCATTATCTTTCCAGTTCAATGCCACAGTAAAGGAAAGAAAATGAAAAAGAAAAGATTTCATTCTTGAGTCTTGATCTGACATCTTTGGTGGAAGCAGTGTACCTTAATGTCAGCTGCTTCTCTTATTTGTTGATTTTATTTGAAGGTCTCCAGCGTCTGTGCAGGACCAGAAGTCAGTTGGTGACCTTTGTGAGCCGCCTGCCCAACCGAGAGGAGTCTCCCCACTTTCCCTTGTTACTGCCACTTTACAACTAGATGACCAAGCACCTGCACTGAAGAGTCTTTTTTTTTTTTCTTTAACTTCTTGTTCGATCTGACTAAAAGAAATGAGAACCTAAATAACATATAGGTCGTACTATTTGAACCTCCTTGTTCCTCAAATTTGGCAGTGAGACTCAACCAGAATGTTTGTTGAACATAACAGGTTATCAACCAACTATAAAATTCCCCTCTGAGGGGCATGACGGACCCAAAGCAGGCTGCCAATGAAATGGGACTACACAGTCATAAAATTGGTCATCAATGCTTTCCTGCCAGAGAGATCTCAACCAAGAGGATAAAATGTGAAAGAAGAATCAAAATGGAGTAAGCACTGCTAGTAGAATCACTCGAAACAGAGTCAGAAGGACATTGAGGAAGTAGGGCCTATGCAAGTCTCCTGTTTCTTCGAACATTGTGAACTTTTGACTTTTGTCAGTTGCAAACTCAGCTACCTCCTGGAATACATCCTTCTATTCTGGACTAAAACAGAGATAATGCAACGTCTGTTTGCCAACTCGCCAATCATCTATTAGATAGATTAAACTCTGCCAGCACCAATCATAATTCTTTTAAAATGACATGTAACTTTGTGGTTTTTGCCTTTATAAACCTGCACTCCCTCCTGGCAATTTGGAGCATGCTTTTGATTTTGGTTGACTGTGTCTTCTGGATTGTAATCTCTAAGCCCCCAAATAAATGCTCTTGCGTTTATCAGCCTCATTGTCTTCGTGATCAACACTGCATGAGGTGAAATATTGGGTCACCCTGAAGCAGGAATATAAATATGGGTATATTTCTGTGGTTCCCACATATCTCCTCTGTATATCCAGTGACTGTGTGTCTCTCAATGAGCAGCATTTTTATCCATTTAATATCTCTTACTTGAGGGGTGTCTGGGTGGTTCAGTGGTTGAGTGTCTGCCTTTCTCTAGTTAAACCTAAAGTTGGACTCCTGACCTCTTTTCCTTTGAGCATTTAGGCTCACAATTGTAAATATGTATCTCTTACACCTCTTAAGGACCTGAGAGCTCTTTTGAAATGTAATTATCAGGAAGGATAAGACCTTTGTCTCCCAATCCTTATGGGAGGATAGAATCCTAACTTCCTTAACTACCAGCCAGCAAACACAGCTGCAGTAGTTCTATTTACATTGACCAACCCTTTGTGATTTTTCAGTTCTGTGACTCAACTGAACCCCTCACTCTTCATCTTCCCTTTAAAATACCTAATAGGGGATCCCTGGGTGGCTCAGCGATTTCACACCTGCCTTTGGCCCAGGGCGCTATCCTGGGGTCCCGCATCGGGCTCCCCGTGTGGAGCCTGCTTCTCCCTCCTCCTGTGTCTCTGCCTCTCTCTCTCTCTGTCTCTATGTCTATCATAAACAAACAAACAAACAAACAAATAAAACACCTAATAACCACTGAAGGAATGAGAATGGAGTTTAACTTTCTGCCCTACTAAAGTACTTTGTAAATAAAATGTTTTTACCACTTTAATGAAAGTGTAACTATGTTTATCTTTGACAACATCAATCTCTAAAAGGGAACAATGTATGGTGCCTGGGTGGCTCCATCAGTTAAGTGGCCAATTCTTGATTTTAGCTCAGGTAATGATCTCAGGGCCATGGGATCAAGCTCTCTGCCCAGTGGAGAGTCGGCTTGAGGATTTTCTTTTTCCCTCTTCTTCCCCTCCCACCACTTGTATGCACTCTCTCTCAAATAAATAAATAAATCATTAAAAAAAATAAAGGGGAACAATGAAACAAATACTATTTGGTATAGAGACAATGGCTGCAGTGCTCAAACGTGGAGCATATTTGTAAATGGGGCTCTGAATTCCAAAACATCAGGAATCTCATAAATCCATAATTTAATCTCATTGCTGGAAAATGATGATCATTTCTTTTGTGATTGCAGGGATTGTTCTACATGAGTGATTTTATATTATCTGTATTCATCAGGGTTCTCCAGAGAAAAGAACCATAGAATATATATATATATATATATATATATATATTCAGAAATGTACAAGAGGACATTTATTATAGGAATTGGCTTATGCAATTTTAGAGGCTGACTAGTCTCAATGGGCTACTGTCCAAAAGAGTGCTCATCCTCTTTCACTAAACAAACCAACAAAAACCCTAAGGTTTATATCTACTTAGAGCTGTCTATTCCTTTATCACCATACCTTTATACATCTAGTGTTTCCAAATATCATTTTAACTTAAAGAAAATAGGGTTTTTGGAGGAATAGGCATAATGATGAAGGGAAGTGGGCTTCCAGTTATAGAATGAATAAGTCATGAGGATGAGAGGTGGTAGTATAATTCCTGTCATAATCAACTATAAAACTCTACAGAATATAAGGAGTGGCTACTTGTAGGCATTGGACCGACCGTGTGGAGCTGTGACCCTGAGGGAAGGATGCACAATAGTTGAGGTTGAACCCTCCTATTCTCTTATAGTGCTGTTGTGCCCAAGATTGTGAATCTGAGAAACCACCAAGAAGCCGACACCAATGCAAGTACACGAGGGTTTATTAACAAGCTCGAGCTTGGGTCCAAGTATACTCGACACAGCAGAGCAGGGACTTGGAACCCGAGGTGGGTTACAGCTGGGTTTTTATGGGCTAGTCTAAGGGATTTTCAGAAGGAGTGGAGGAATTTTTTCATTACGATATGGGGGAA